CAATTTTTCATAATTACTTGTTCTCTTGAATTATTAAAAATATTTCTCAATAAATTTAAATCTGAGATGCAAAACGTGCGGTCTATTTTAATTGTACACTATAATTATAGAACTAAATATACGCTATAACTATGATATTCATTAATGGATTCTGAATTTAAATCCCAATTCTAGGAAATATTGAAAACTATACTTATGATTTATTGAAGTTTAATGTCGTATTTAGGTATAGTTTACCCTGTTTTATGTACTTATAAATTATAATGATAGATGGAAATATTATATTAGAGACTAAATCATAATTAAGACATTTAATTATGTAATAGGTCATTGTGATTACTTTAATAGTAATTCGTTTAGTTTCAAGACATTTTTGTGCGACGAAAAATATAATTTTTTAGTCGTAATCCCAACCGACAAACATAACTAACAGTACCATATATTAGTGAATCAGTGGTAATCTTATACACCATCGAAGTGATAATATAAATATTATTGTACATGCATCTCTATGTCAACTTTTTAAGTTTTTTATACGATATTGTTATACAATGACATCGCATGTACACACATACTCGAACAAAGTACTTAAAGACCTCGAAAGGTAGTGATTTAATCTATTGTGGTAGTCAAAAACATGTCATTTATGACTTGAGCTTTTTTTTATTTTGTGATATTTTTTAAACTATGCTGGGTTCTATAGTTGTTGAAATTCATGGCTGCGATAGCACATTGTTACAGATCACTATATTGTAAGTATTATTTAGAGAATATTACTAATATTGACATACTGATCTATGCACTTGAAACATTTTGCAACTTGACGCCACTTAACCTTAATGGTTAACCTGTGCTATGCAAATGCGAATCGCTTAGGTGATAAAGTTGAATAAAACGCTATTTTGTGGTACGTTATTAGAGGATGTATAGAAATTTAGTTTACTATTTCAAAAATTCTATTGTTATTATTGATTTGTGTACTATTGAAAATTTTTATTATTGGATTAGTTTTAACCGAAAGACAGCAAATATTTAAATGCATTTACAACATTGTCCTTGTAAATAATGTATAACGTCACAACGAAGTATTATATTTGGAATGTTACTATAGTAGATCTGTGTTACTATTCTGGGAGTCTATTGAATTTATGTAAATATAGATGGTTTAAAAAAAGTAATCAATAGAACAAAAAGAAAACGGTCAAAACCGTTCAAGATGGTTGGCTGTTCTATAATTCTCGTGACTTGTTGCGCGTTGGTCGTCGGTCACCAAGCTATCCTACATTTGTAATCCGTCGCAATCATTTTATTTGAAAACATTACTTCTTCGGTTGCTGTCTTTTTTTTTTTTTAATTATACTTACTTCTTCACTAATTTGTGCGTTGGTTATATATTTTTAAACTTACATTATTGAACGTGCGTTATATCTGCAAAAAACTAAAGGCGAAAGGTAGTATTGAAACTTAAATTTTAAGTATAGCAGTTTAATTATTAGTGGATTTTTTTAATTAAATTTTTTATTATTTAAATTAATTTGTACAGTTTTTTTCTACAACAGAACATTGATGTTGTGGTAAAAGAGTGTTCTGACTCAGTATGGTTTTTAATTAACTAACTAACTCTAGTTAAACTTGATCCTTGCTTAATTCTTCGGAGTACATTAATAATTAGTTATACTTTTATTAAGACAGTTGCAAGAGAGAAATAAAAATATTTTGTTAACTTTTTCTATGATATATTTTTTTTTATTTTTGATTTGGTTTCAAAATTGAAAAGTTTGATGCAACAACCAGATAAGTCAATTTCTTTTAATTTTCCATTAAAAGCAATGGTAAAATTTTTTTTCTAAATTAAATATCTTCACAGATATTAAGAATATAGAATTCAATTTTGTGTTGAACTACGCACAAATATTACACTTATTCAAATTTTACAAAAAATACATAAAATGTTGGACTAATCTGGTTGTTTTACCAATTGTGAAATTGAAATAAGTTCCAAGCTTTCATTTTAATTAGGCTTTGATTATATATAGTTTATGAAAAAGTGAAAAAATATAATTTACACTTTTGTCCTGTCAACATAATTTATTATCGATATAAATGTCTTTATCCGGTCAACTAAAGTATTATTTAATTAAATAATTGTTTGATATAAATAAAACAATAATGAAGGTGAATGTGAGTATGTTCATTTTAAAGTCCAAAATTAAATATGATATCTATGCGAGGGGCATCAGTATTTATTAAAATGACGGCAATATGATATGGTTTGTTATTATGACCACATGGATAACTAAACTGTTTACTCGGTGGTGTATAATGACCAAAGTGATAATTTTAATTTACCATATTTGTTGTAATATATCAAGCTGATTACTAATGTACACCATGTCGAAATGGACATCATATTTGTATAGCACATAAAAATCAACTAAATTATCAAAAAACTTGATACTTTGATATTTTCACATGAGAAATTTATCACTTTGTTTACAGTAAAAAAAAAGTTTACTTGTTACCATCAAAAATATTTTATGAAAACAATCTTCTAATATTACATGTTTGGATCCTGATGAAATTATTTTATTAATTTAATTAGATTATTTAGTTAAATGTATTGTATTGTGATAAATATTGTGTAATGTACTTTATTCCAAAAAAAAAAAAAAAAAATTGTCCATAACTTTACTGAAAATTTGTTTTGTCGATTCGCTGTCTATATTATTAGATTCATATAAGCGTGTGTTACGTTTAGACCACGAAAAAATTAATTATTAATTTACGATTTACTACTACATTAGTTTTTTGTTAATTTGTTTTGTACAACCGAAGCGTTAGTCACTTAATTAATTATTAACGCAATTCTGTTATCCGTTCGGAGTATAAGCATGTGTCGAGTTGTCGTTTATGACTTCTTGCATATTAAGAATAATTATCTGTTGGTTATTTTTTCTTTTCATTGCAAATCCTTTACAAATTTAAAGAAGGATCACTGTTAATCATTTTAAAGTGATAACTTAAGAGATTGTATTATTTTTTTTTTACTTTGATCAATTGTCCGGTGTATCAGTGTCGATTAAACATACACAATAATTAATAATTGACATGATACTCTACACAGAATACAGCAATTTAAACTATGAGTATTGTTGTTGACCAACAAGTGTGTGTTCGTCGCGCGCGTTGAGTTCAAGGAGTTGTTATTGATAGGACGGCAGTGCTTATAAACATAATAACAAATGGTAAAAAAAAAAAGAAAGAAAAGAAAACAATTAAAGTCCAATGACTGTTGTCACTTTGATATGGCTACTAAATTGTTTTGACGTGCTCGCAAACGATGATCTAATAGAGTTTTATTACAAGTCGAAATAGGTCAATTCTTCAAATACGACTATTAAACTTCTCGATTTATTATTGTGTGTCATCGTATTTGATAAAATAAAAATTCTCATTGTATCAAATGTCGGCGTAAAAAATATTTAAAACTCTAAGAAAATTTGCCTACGGTGTATTCGTAGAATGTATTGTTAAACGTCTTTTATTTTAATAGTTTACATTATCATTAATTAATCGCGGTGATTAATTAGGAACACAGTAGGAGTTTTCTGCGGAGTGAAAATTATTGTGAATTTTTCGTAATAATATTAGTCTATTATCTACTTATCGTTACGTTGTTACCGAATAACACTCATTTAACTTGTCTAACATTAGTTTTATTATGAAAAAACAATTGGTCTATATAAGTCAAAAGGAAAATACTATTTTAAAATACCGAATTTTGGACAATAGTCTATTGAAATTCTTTACTGTACAATTTACCATTGAGAGTTCAAACAAACGTGTCGCAATAATTATTTACTGTTATTTGAAAATGAATTATTCCACTTCTGAAGAGTAATTGTTCTAATTTTTGGCTAATGTTTATTATTATTAAACACCTTTCAAAACAAAGTGTCGTCGAACTCTAATTTGCGTGTTAAGTTCGCCTGGTCAACACAAGAAATATTTTTCAATTTGACACTAAATAAATTGGGAAAATAGTTTGTTAAAACATAGATGTCATTTAACACCATTAACCTAACTCCCTAATTCAATAAAATGTAACTAATAGCTGTTTCGTAGACATAGAAAATTAGTGTAAACCGGTTTCCTTAAAAAAAATTAATAATAAAAGAGGTAGATAGTATTGTTATGATAATGTCAATATTCGCACCAAGTGATAATTGTTCTAATAAGACTTATGCAATATTACAAAATATTAATTGTTTTGACGATGTTAAATTAAATCGAGCAAACAATTTAATAAAAGAAAACCTAGTAAGTTTGTAATTAATGTTTCTTTAACATTGTTATAACAAAAAATTTGGATTTCTTATAAAAAAAAAATACTATTATTGAGATTGGCCTAGTTTTCTAATTGTACCATAAGTTTCCATATTTTAACTGCATTGTTATCACTTTCAATAAGCTTTTAATTTTTGTCCCAAAAAAATGTAGTTTGTTATTTTTACTGACTAAAATTCACTAAAAAAAATTGCAATAAATTCATTTTTGCTATATTATGTTAGACATAATTAATATTATTTTTCCCGTTACCAGTTATGAATGATTATATTTGATTTGACGAGTGTTAACTTTATAGATGTCCTCGTTTAATTTGAGCTGGGATTGAGTAGTGACCCTTCAGATAATTTGCCGATGGACATTAATTATTTTTTTAGTGGTCATCGCACTAAAATTTAATATAAACTGACGGTTGCAAATGATTTACCACGGTATGTTTCAGAACGACTGTTTAATTTTAGTTCATATATGTAAAATTCGCGATAAATTAGGGGAGGGAGGAACAACAGCGTAAAACTGATTGTAGTGATTTTTTCCCGTGTCCTCGAATTGTATTTTTGTATCAATCACTGAAACATACTGTATTTTAAACTGAACTTATTATTTCTAATGAATGGTAATACATTTGGGTCTGGTGTTTGGCGTTTGTATAGAAGTATCAAGTGTGTTACGCGGCAGTGGATTAGTCAAAGACCTCAATTGAATCACTTTCGTTGAGACATTTATGAATTTATACACCCGTACTATTAACATTGAATATAAAGTAAACACGTTTGACGATGGACGCGCGGTCGTCGCCTGTGTCCGGCGCAACGGCCGACCATTAGTGGGTGGTGATCCGTTAAGAATACACGTGATGGTGCATTGTTCAATGGGCCAAATTTTTAGTATGGGGCACCATCGAACCAAATGTCGTCACAACAACAGCATCATCATCAACAACAACGATCATACAGGTATCAGTTTATATTACCAGCGCACCATATATTTCATGTTAACATCCGTTATTTATTTATTTTTTAACTTTGTCGCATTGTACGTATGACATACGAGTCTCTGTTGAATCGACGCGTTGCATGTGCTGGGGAAAACTAAGGCCGATAGATAACTCCGGGCGAGCGTCTAAACGGGTTATCTCGGGCAGTGTGAAATTGTTCGAGTTTTTATTAATTCGAGTAGTTTTTACTGCTGCTAAAAGTGTTAAACTTGGGATCAAATAATATATTAATGAACGCACTACTTAACATCGATCGACAATAAAGTCAATGTCTGTCGACCAACTAGTTTTTATTTCAAATTCGATTTCAAGAACCAGTATAATTATTCAGTGTTGCAATTATGCATATCTAATATTTCCTTGATAGCTCCTAGTCTTTGGAGGAAGTCGGCCTTAAATATTCGACACTCCATTTCAAATCTTAACCTAGAACCAATTTCCATGTCTGGCATATAAATATTTGTCATGAACATATTTTTCATTAAAAAGTTGTTGCTTTGACGAGTCACGAGCAGACTCAAAAAGTCTAGCTTCTGAATGTTAATGCACTTTTTACTTTAAAGTAAACGCTAAGTGTGGCTCAAGTGTTTAAGTTATTATTTAGATTAAGAGTAGCTACGCATTCATGTTTTGGTGGCGTTTTTAATGTATTTGGTACAACGGCTTATAGAAAGCAGTTGATTAGAAATTTTATAGGTACGTTTAAAAATGACAAAAAATTTATTTTGCTTTTTGATACGAGTATATTTGTGGGGCTTTTATTGTGATGATAATTTAGCATGGTGTTTCATTGAGTTTAAATAAATTTGCCGATATGAAAACTTATGATTTAAGTGAATGACGCGAATTGAGAGCATTTAAATTGCTACTTGTTTATTAATATTTGGAAAGTCAAGGGTATAAATACTTCATGTACAATACTATTTGTTCGTGTGCGTATCATTTATCATGGACAATTATGAGATTTGTAGATGGGATTGTTATATATTTTACATGTGTCCATCATAAATGAACTAATATATTTTTTGTCTCTGTCACACATTTTAAACTTTTACTTCGTATAAAGCGTGTTGTCTGCAGAAATATTTTTTCGTCTAAAGTAAACTTTTGAATTCGTGATTTTTTTCATATAGGGTTACAATCCAGAAGCACCGGTGGCGGGGTGGACGACCTTCGGATGACTGCTGAAACTTGTAGCGGAGGAGATTTAACCCGAATCACTACGTTACCATCAGCATTGCCGGGACCCCAACCACCGTCATTAGCAAAAAATCATCAAGACTACGACCCTGAATATGCTAAGATTGAAGCGTGGCTCGATGAGCACCGAGACTTTGCCCATGATTATTTCCTCAGGTAAAGTAAACATTATCTATCAATAAACATATTTTTTTTTTCATTAAGTAAATTACTATTCTATTGAATTAATTATAATTTAAACGCTATTAAAAGATTAATATCTGTAAAATTGGTAATTATATATTGTTTTATTTGATGGAATAATATTAACATATTAGTTTAAAAAAGAATTATTGAGACTTAGTTAGAAGTCAACGTTTTGCATTATGCGAGTTCAATGATTTTACCTCATTTTTTGTCTATTTTTAACGGTCTAGTTTCAACTAACCAGTGGAAACGCCGTTTCCACGTGCATCGACGATGCATGTGGTAAACTCGGCCTATAACCACATAAACACCGTGTCCTCCAGCTGTTATTCAAATTTCTATTCGGTAGGATAACGGTTTCTGTTCTATTTTTAGCTAACGAAGTTTTCATGTTATGCAACAGTCTTTGTCTTATCTACGCTTATGTCTTAATTAATTTCCATTTGAATAAAAAAAAGTAACAGCCTTTTAGATTGTTAAAAACAAATATATTTTTTATCCATAACAACAAATTTGTTTTGTAGAAAAGAAATACGATTTGTAATGATACGTATAAAGTATAAAATAAAACTACTTAGTTATTGTTATGATTTATTTATTTGAATGGTAAGTGAGGGTAATAAGGCCCTAGCTTATATTAGGTTTAGCTAAACTTTTATTAAGTCTAGCTAGATCTTTTAGAAAATCTAATGAAAACTGGTTTATTTAAACTATTATTTTTACAGTTTACGAATAAAAAAAATGTATATGCGTTTTATTTATTATTTTTAGAATTTATTGATGAATTAAATTTTATTTATTTATACATAAATATATTTCAATGAATTGATTCATTAAAACTCATTTAAATGATCAATTGAAATCGAAACCAATGAAAAGATTGTTAAATAAATCATCAATTTAAACGATTATTTCAATAAAATTATATAAAGTTACAAAAATAGAAGCCATATGAATGAATTAGGCGTAGGTTAATGAAATAATTGAATGTCAAATAACGTTCTACTAAAATATTTTTCATTTTTTGCAGTCGTTTTCTTAATACTGTAGAAAAATATCGATTAGATTTTTTTTTTAAATTTTCATTTGATTGTTATCTGTTAAAAAAAATCATTATTATTGAAATATATATCAGTCCAGACGTTGTACGTTCATTTATATGTGACAGTAAGTAATTGCCACCCTCTAATGATACACATAAACAAAATAATTGTTAAACGACAAAAGTTCAACTAATTTAGTTTATTTTTCATATCCATTCCAGTTAGTAGGACAAAGACGACATAGTTACAAGTTTTTATCAGTCTTCGTAGAGGTAAATTTCAATTATTGGTACAATTTTATAGTTTAATACGTTGTTTTAAATTTGATATGCTATTATAATTGTTTTCATTTAAGTGTAGCAATTACTAGATTGAAAATAAATAAGACGTTTTAATGAGATCTATAATGAAATTTCATTTTAATGTGGGATTTATAAAATCTACTTTTTATGAAATTTTTATTGCTAAAATTTCTTGAAAATATTAAATGTTTTCTTAAAAAGTATTCTTAGTGAAATTGAAAGTTGAACTCAAATAATGAACAAAACTGTATTAAGAAAAAAAAATTATATCTATTAAAATATTTGAACAATTGAGCGTAGAAACTAATTATTTCCTAGAAATTTTGTGTATCCTTTATTTAGAATTGAAAATTGTACAACAATTTTTTTTACTTTTACAATTTACAACAAGTAATTTTAATAATTTGTACGTTTTTTTTATAGAAAAGCAACGAGGAATATTGTGGATGCTTGGTTGGTATCGCACGCATCAGCCAGCAGTTGTGGAGCTGGAAATACTGCAGCCACTCCTAACGGCAACGAAAGACAGTCTATTGGAGGATCGGGGGGTGCGGGAGCTGGCAGTAGTGGAACAACCACTCCGGTTCGGAAAATATCTGCACACGAGTTTGAACGTGGAGGCCTCAAACCAATGGTGACCACAGTTGACGGTACTCCTACGTTTTTAGCCCACGACCATCCAGATGAAGCAACCACTGCTCCAGTGGCCAGACGGCGGTCACGGCATGAATTAAGGCAGCTTGACGAAAAACAGCTTATTTTCGAATTAGTGAGTGTACAACAATGAAAACATACCGTTTAAGACTTTGAACCTGCGCGACGTTTCTTAAATAAATGAAAATGGTGTAAAATGTATTTATATTATTTCCAACTTATAAAGTCAATCATTACGTTATTTATGGTGTGGAATATATTTTCAATGGTACAAACTTAAACAGTCTTTAATAAAAATAAAAATTTATCTCTTATCGCTAATTTTTTAAAATTAAAATTACATTTGTTATGTAATATTATCACAATTTACCAGTGGACACAAGTTTAAAATGATTTTTTCAGTGGATCAAGATACCAATGAATTAAATTGTTTTTATTTATAAACATTTCTATTGCTTCTCTTATATTAAGCACATTTTGAGTTATTTATTTGAGTTAGATATTTTTAACATAGTTTTAATTTTAAATTAAACTGTCTTCAATTGGATATTACTAAAACCTTGGACATGTAATGATAATTAGACCACTACCTTTGTACAATATCGTATAAATCAATTGCAATGAACCCGAACTCGCACCATCTCCATTTTAATATGTTGAGTGATATTCAATGTGAAAGATGATTCGTTAATATATGCACAAATAGAAAAGATTGATGAAGTTTTATTATAAGTTACAAGTTTAATAAAAAAAAATATATAAAAAATTCTAAATATTTATTTAATGTATACAAATTGACTAACATTTTTTCATGAATCTTTTACTGATTTCATTTTTATTCGTTCTAGTCTAATTTTTAAATTGACTTGTAATAGCATTTAGTTTTTATAGTGATATCAAAAAAATGTTACTTGAGCTATAGTTATAAATTATACATGTATATTTTTTAAGTTACGTAATATTTTAATATGTTTTTTTAGAACTTTATTTCATTATGTAAAACTTTTTTTAAAAATGATCATTTTTAATTATATTTACTGCTTTATGTAGGTCAAAGATATTTGCAATGAGTTAGATGTCCGTTCACTTTGCCACAAGATCCTCCAGAATGTTAGCACGTTGTTGAACGCCGACAGAGGGTCTTTGTTCTTAGTACAAGGTGGTGGACTATCAGCCTGTCAGCATGATCACCACAGGTCGGCTCCAACGATCAAGCGCATGTGTAGCCCTCGAAGGCTGCACGCCAGCATCACAGTTGGATGCTTGAGCAAGGACGACCATTCCTCAACAGCAGTTGCAACTTCAGACGAAGAAACGTCTAAGGGCGAACAGCAAATCCATCATCACTCTCGACACCACCATCACCACCATCACACTCATCATCATTCGAATCAAGAAAATGTTCCTAACCAACAATCTATTCAACCGGTTGAAGAAGTAGGCGCTTTAATCGTTGGATCTCCAATAGGTAAGCTTTTATAATAAAGTTATCAGATATTAATTAAAATAATTATATATGAGTTTAAAAAACTGCAACATTCACATGATTAATCCTGAACTATATTTAAGTAATAAAAACACGGTATTATTAGAGTATATCGTTGAATATTTTAAATGAGAAGCATTTCAATAATAATTAAATATTGATTTATTTCTTAAAAAAATGATAAAATTGTCCATTACCAAACACTTAATTAATTTTTCATCTCACTTTAAGGGATTGGATGAATTTTAATTATAAATAAATATTAATTTTGGCTGTGATTACTATCACATATGTCTAATGCCACTCACAGGTATTGGTAATGACGCCCATGATTTTGAAATTTAGTTATAGTTATAAAAAAATGTAAATTTATCTTTATAAAAATAAAAGTATGATACATAGATGAGTTCATAAGATTTTAATTAAGCCTTTGTCTTCTTATATAGCACTACCAATAATATTAAATTTCACAAACATATTATCAATTAAAGAGCAAAAAAATTAAAAAACTAAATTTATTTAGAATAACATATTTAAATACGTTATTGAAAATAAACATAGATTGTAAATATAGAATCAAATTATCATATTATAATTTTACAAAATTTAACATATTCAGAGAAAATTTTAGAAAAATAATAGTAAATTTTCAGTAGATGATATTATCCCACTATCTCTATATTGTAATTAAGCGTTTACTATTTTATAACTATGGGTTATAAATATTTAATTCCAGTGAACATTTTATATTACTTATACTTAATGAATGATGGTTTATAAATTAGTTAAATTAATTAAATATACAAATATTTGCATTTGAAATCATCAAGCCGAATAATTAGATCAATAGCCTATTATAATTAATTTGCATATATAATATTAATAACTAAATGTAAATTCAAAAATATGCATTTGATTAACTTCGAAAGGGTTATAAAATTTGTTAGTCATGGCAATATTTTTATAAAATGAATTCGAAGGCCCTATATAAATATGAATGACTTTACTCGTTGGGCAGTAAACGCCCACTATCCCTTAAAAATATGGAAATCATGAAATTTTATGTTTATAGGCTCGACTAACGTGGGTTCAATGGCACCAAAATCAACGTTTGCTCCACCACCACATTACCAAGGATGTCAGTCCAAGTGTTTGGTATCAAAATTATTTGATGTTTGTTCTCGATCAACACTCCAAGAAATGGAAAAGAAAAAAGAGATCCACATACCATGGGGAACCGGAATTGTCGGGTATGTAGCTGAAAGTGGTGAACCCGTCAACATACCTGACGCGTATAAGGTAAAAAAAATTAAATAACGATTTTTTTAATTAGTTTTTTATATCATTAATAGCATATTAGTGATTTTCAGATAAACTCAGTATTTTAGTATAATGATAAATCTTCATTGTTTATAATTTTGAATACTTTATCACGTATATTAATTATAAAAAAAGTATTAACGAGTGCGTACTTAATGATATCTTATGTTTTTGGATATACAGTTCTACAAAAAGTGAGTGTTATGGATTGCGGCGTTGTTAAATGAATAAATTTTTAGTAGTACTTGGCTGATGTTGAAAGTTTTTCCACTTGATTGAAATTTCGTTGTGGATAATAATAATAAAAAAAAAAAATCAATAGTGTAATTTTGTGTAATAGTTCGCAAATATAAAGTTAATAAGAAAGATAATAGTTAAGTTGGCTTTAATAAAATGGTAAAAGAAGTCGATCTCATTAAATACAATAGCATAGAAAGGGCGTATATGATGCAAAGTTCGAAATTTTAGAATGGAGAGAAATAAGGTTCATGCCATATCATAATGCTGCTAAGATTTTTTTATTTGTTTTTAAATAGAAATAAATAATTTTCAGTTAAATGTCATTAGGGCCTATGCAAATTTGTGTGTAATAATTTAATGGATAGTCAACCTTGCTTTTGTATTCATGTAATAATTATCGTCAACCGGAACAACCTGTTCTGATCATTATTACTGTTATGTATGAATGTTACAATAATTAGATATTGAACTTTTAGTTTAATTTTAAATTTGTGAGATGGAGACAATATGTTATAGAAAATATTGGAAAAAATAATGTATTACTAAAAATGTGTGTGGAAATTTGAAGTTCTATTTAATTTTAGTATTTTTAAATCCTATATTAAAGAACTAATTTTATGTCTTGTGAAAAATATACTTTACACTAGTTTTTTGGAAATTTCTAATGATGGTCCTCTCATAAAATGACTAGTTAATCAGCNTACTAAAAATGTGTGTGGAAATTTGAAGTTCTATTTAATTTTAGTATTTTTAAATCCTATATTAAAGAACTAATTTTATAATGTCTTGTGAAAAATATACTTTACACTAGTTTTTTGGAAATTTCTAATGATGGTCCTCTCATAAAATGACTAGTTAATCAGCGAACAACTCGATAAAACTATTTCAAATAGTTGTTATAATACCTTTAACCATTCATTCGATTTAAAAAAGTTTTGGCAGATAAACTTAGTGACCTTTATTGGGTCAAGGTTTAGTAGCGACTTATGCAAGATATGCATTGGCCTTAAGCCGTGGGTTTTACAAGCATAAATACGCATCTGACATAATACTCTCTTATATTATATACATAATATATCTATAGGTGTTAGAGTATAATATGACGTTCGTATTTATATGTTAACACCCCGGTGTATTTTAGGATACGCGATTCAACCACGACATAGATGCTCGCACTGGGTACAAAACGCACAGTTTATTGTGTATGCCGATCAAAGACTTTAATGGGGAGGTAATGGGAGTGGCACAAGTAAGACAAATTATAAATAACTTCAAAGCTAAGTATAATAAGGCGTGATATTTTGCAGGTCATCAACAAGAAAAATGCTCCATGCTTTACACAAAATGATGAGAAAGTGTTTTCTGATTATTTACAATTTTGTGGAATTGGTCTAAGAAATGCGCAACTCTACGAAAAAAGCCAGTTAGAAGTAAAACGAAATCAGGTACTAAATAAAACATTTAGCTAACATAAAAGGTTGGATGACACCATGACGTCATAAAATTTTGGAATATTGATATATTATAAATTATATTTTATTTTCGATCAGGTTTTATTGGATCTGGCTCGTATGATATTTGAAGAACAAAGTACCATTGAACATATGGTTTTCAGAATTCTTACTCACACCCAATCATTGATCCAGTGCCAGAGAGTACAGGTAGGAGACACTTATTTCTATTAGTGTTCATCTAGTTATATTTATTATTTTTTTGGTATCATTGTGCAGGTGTTACTGTTGCACGAAGCATCTAAAGCGAGCTTTTCACGAGTATTTGATTTGGAAGCCAACGATTTACAGGGAAAAGACAGTGAACGAACCAGGTAAAAATCGAATGGGTTGTTCATTATTTTCTTCTTCTTTTCACTTTCGACACTTATCAGTCGATTTATTCCTAGTCTCCTTTTTATTACTTAGGTAACCTATTAACAGTGCCCATAATTTTTTAGCCCTTTCGAGAGCAGATTTCCTGTGAATGTTGGTATAACCGGGTATGTTGCTACCACTGGAGAAGTNGAAAGGAGAAGAAAATCTAAAAGTTTCGACACTTATCAGTCGATTTATTCCTAGTCTCCTTTTTATTACTTAGGTAACCTATTAACAATGCCCATAATTTTTTAGCCCTTTCGAGAGCAGATTTCCTGTGAATGTTGGTATAACCGGGTATGTTGCTACCACTGGAGAAGTAAGTCACTTAGTACAGAATTTTGCTAAAAGTTGTTGCTCTAGTATGATTAAGTTGTTCATTTTATTCCAGACTGTCAACATTGCTAACGCATATGAAGACTCCCGATTTGACAAGTCCGTTGACCAAGGTACTGGTTTCAAACACTCCACTATCCTATGTATGCCAATCAAAAACTCACATGGACAAATAATTGGTGTTATACAATTGGTAAATAAATTTGATGAACTTGTGTTCACAAAAAATGACGAAAATTTTGTTGAGGCGTTTGCTATATTTTGTGGCATGGGTATTCACAATACACACATGTAAGTATACAATTAAAACACAGATTTCTTGTATATAATAATGTCCAATTAATGAGCAACTATTCATTCACGCAGGTTTGAGAAAGCTATCATAGCAAATGCTAAACAAAACGTTACTTTGGATGTACTAAGTTACCATGCGTCAGCTTCGCTTGAAGATGCGCAGAGATTAAGAGTAAAGTGTTATTAACATTTTTTTATTTTTTAAATTGATAATTTCATTTTTATTTAGGCTTTGCAAGTTCCGTCTGCCGCCACTTATAATCTATACAATTTTTCATTTGATGATATTCATATGACAGATGACGATACTTTATTGGTAAGTAATTATTCGAATTTAGTAAATAATTTTCTGCATATTCATTTATTTTGCATTAAGTCACATTGTATAATATTCATTTTCTTAGGCTTGTATTAGAATGTTCCTAGACATGGATTTTGTTGAAAGATTTCATATTGATTACAATGTTATGTGCCGGTGGTTACTGAGTGTTAAGAAAAACTATAGATCGGTTACTTATCATAACTGGAGGCATGCGTTTAACGTGGCTCAAATGATGTTTTCCATAATAACAGTAAGCTTTAAAAACTGAATTTGCAAGGATATCGTCTAATTGTTGGGTTATTTGTAGGCAACTCAATGGTGGAAGGTATTTGGAGACTTAGAATGTCTAGCTTTAATTATTGCCTGTCTTTGTCATGATTTGGATCATCGTGGAACAAATAATTCTTTTCAAATAAAGTACGTTTTATAAAACAATTTTGCTTTAATACGAGTGTTTCAATTATATTTTGATTTCATAGGGTATGTTCCCCGCTCGCGCAACTTTATTCCACATCTACCATGGAACACCATCACTTCGATCAATGCCTAATGATCTTGAATAGTCAGGTATGTAAAGTTTTGTTTACCTGCAAAAGTTTACGAGTTAAACGTAACAATGACGGTTATGGTTTCCAGGGAAATCAGATATTGAGTAACTTGTCGCCCGAAGAGTATTCCCGCATTATAAAAGTTTTGGAAGATGCTATTCTAGCAACTGATCTAGCTGTATATTTCAGGTAAAATTTAATAGCGTGTCATTTAGTTTTATCCATAATTAAATTGTAAAATCATATTAAAATAAAATTTCCATATATAAAATGTGTCGGGAAAAAATATAAACTATGACTTATATCTTGAACAATTACATATCTGTAATACATATGTTTTTTTGAAAAATATATTTCTAATCAGTATATTTAGGACTTATTGCTAATTAAATAATTCTTTTTTAACTATTTATTATAAATTTATAGAAAAAGAGGTACATTCTTGGAATTAGTTCGTACTGGTATGTATGATTGGACTAGAGAAGAAGACCGAGAGTTGCTGAGGGCGATGCTGATGACGGTTTGCGATTTAGCAGCAATTACAAAACCATGGGAGATTGAGAAACGTGTAAGTTAAACATGGATTTAATATTTAATTTATAACTAAATTTATTGTTTTTTCATTTTTTCTAGGTTGCTGAACTTGTAACTAATGAATTTTTCGAACAAGGTGATATTGAAAGGAGAAATTTTAATATAACACCAATTGTATGTATTATTGAATATTAGAAATTTAAATAAAAATTATATCCAATTTCATTTGATTTATAGGACATAATGAATAGAGAAAAAGAGGATCAGTTGCCAATGATGCAAGTCGGGTTTATTGATTCAATTTGTTTACCTATTTATCAGGTGAGCTAATTAATATAGAAATAATTGTTTAGAATTTCTATGACGTATTTAATTTGGTTCTAGGCTATTGCTGATTTGTCAGAGAAACTGGAACCATTGATCAAAGGTGTCCGACAGAACAAAATACACTGGTTAGAAGAATCTAAACAAACATATCGCCCGCAAAGTCATAAATGAAAAAAAAAAATGATTTGTGTTATTGGAAAATTTGTGTTCGATGTGAGCGATTGAATGTTAGAATAAACATTTATGGTCATAATAATATATGAAATTCGTGAAACAATATCTATGTAATCAACCAACCTACCTAACTTTTTTCTCATTAGATTTATAAGACTTGAAATATAAAAATATTTAATGAATATGTATGTAATGTAATTAGAACATAAACATAATTTTAATTTGTGTTTAGTTATAGAAAATTATAGTATTTTTCTGTGTTATAGACTTCTGTAAATACTATGATAATATTGTTAAGAGTGACATCCTTGTACTTTGTTCTTATTATATATATGATGTATTTTAATTTATATACATTATAGTTATAATTTATGTTATGTATGTGTTCGTTTGAAAATTTATATGTATTTGTATAAAAAGGTTTTAAGTTCTTACCGTTGCAATTCGTATTCGACCAAAATTTATATGAGATAAATCTTTTACTAAACTATTTATTTTGTGTACCCATTTTGATTACTTAATAATTTGTGGTTTTTTTTTATTGTTAATTAAATATTTTTTTTTATAATAATGGCAATAAATTTATGAAATTTGAGTCACGATGTATACTTGAGACAGGATTTAATGTTGGTGATGGACATAATATTAATTTTGGGTTATGTTCTTATGATAATAAGCACAAAATGTCTAATATAAATTTTTTTAGTGTTTGATACAGTAAACATTACAACTATTCGCATAGAATGTGAATAAAGAATCTATTTTGATTCTTATATGATTATCTTTCAGTATTCATATTCATGTGAAAATCTATTCTAATATTAGCAGATAAATTTATGTATAATGATTTGAATTTTTGGAAAAGTTGAACCATGTCTATCTACTTGATCATATTTTGGAAATGAGTACACACTAATAAATCATAAATATCCAGACACAATGGCGGATCGTGGCTTGGACAATGGGACTATCGCACCCCCTACTAAAATTAATTAAAAAAAGAAAATTAATTTTATATTCCTAATTCTCCATTTTTTTTAAAAATGCAAATTTTTAAATAGTACATTAGTGCAATTATACATTTGTCGTGTGCGAACATTAAAGTTGTGTGTTAATAATATATTAAGTATATGTGGGGGTACGCATGCACCTACGAGCAGTGTTTGGAATACCGGCAGCATCGTTCACAAGGTAAAATATTACTATATTTGGTAATCTATTTTTAGAATTAACTACTTGTACGCTCGTCGTTTTCGTTTGCTATAATAGTGTAATCGATATTATTAATATTTTCATTTCTATTTTCTACTGCAACCTTTTAAATAATAATGTGTGTATTGTATTTTATTTCATTATATTTAATTTGACAACTATGAATAATGGTATTATATTTAAAGTCCACCACCAGTACTCTCGAGCCGCCACGTTCCAACACAAGACTTTTTTAATAATATACATTCGATTAGTATTATTTAATATTGATGTAAATTTAATAATATTCCTTCTGATGTATGCAATACTACGTTGTATCTCAAACAAAATTATTTTTCGATATATTTTTTCTCAATGGATGAGTGGTTATCTGACATCTTCAATTTATTTCTGAGAATCTGTTTTGTATAACATGTTTTAAAAATGTATAGTTTGGTATAGTTTTTTGAAATTTATGATATTAAAAACTATTGAAATGAGAAATTGTTTTTTTGAAGATGTTGTGAGAGGCATAATTATAAGTTTATAATGCATAGTTAGGATAATTCTATTATTAGAATTATCTATTGTTAGAAGTATATTCTACATATCCAGAATTTTATAATAATATACGGCTGAACAATTATTTGCCATATCAATCATAGGTGAATAAATAATTTCTAATGTTCAAAGAATTAATCTTTCTTATGCTTAAAATTTTATTATAATATTGAAATACTTATTAAAATTATTTGAACACGAGTACATAATAAAAATAATTTATTTAATTTAATCTAATTTTACTTTGTTTTAAACGACTAACAAAAAGTTATAATAGAAAATAAAATATATATAATAGAATATAAAAAAAAAATTGTCTATACAAACTGATTAAATTATGTAAAATATAAAAATTAACTCTTTAACTTAACTTTAATTTTTTAACTAGTTAATGTACACCATTGGCTAGAGGTTTGGAGATCAGCTTTTGAAGAGAAAAATTAAGAATATGTAGGAGTAAAAAAAAATGTAGAGTACAAGTTTATCAAAGGCAAACACGAGAGATTGATAAAATGATGAGATCAAAGACACTAAGCGAGGATGTGATAGGAGAAGTAGAGAAGTTTTATGTACTTAGAATCAATTATGCAAAAAAACAGGGATTTGACCAGTATATACGACAAAATCTTATGTGCGAGTGGTTGAAGTGGAGAGAAGCGTCTGGTGAGTTATGCGATAAAAGAATTCCAATGAGGTTAAAAGATAAGTTCTATAAGATTGTAGTGGGACTAGCTATGATGTATGGTTCAGAGTGTTGGGCGGTTGATAAGAAAGTAGATCAGAGGATAAGTGTAGCAGACATGAAAATGCTTAGATGGATGTGTGGAGTCACTAGAGAAGATAGGATAAGGAACGAACATATAAAAGGAATATGGGTGTAGCGTCAATCCTGGATAAGATGTGAAAAAATAAACTTAGATGGTTTGGTCATGTCATGAGGAGAGAGTAATCGGAAGCTATAAGCACACTTATAGAAACTAATGTTGAAGGAAGAAGAGGTAGAGGAAGACCAAGAAAGAGATGGAGGGATGTTATTGAATGCGATATGAGGTATGATGTGTGTGTAGATAATTTGTTAAGTGGAAGTAGTTGAGACTCATTTAAATACTTTAAATATTTAACTTCAAGAAAAAGGTGGGACAATAATTGAGCTCTATAAATGGTTTTAAATCAAAATTTATATTACTCAGTTACAATAAAAAGCAAATAATTTTTCAAACTTACGTTTTTTTGAAAAGCAGACGTGTATAGTGGTAGTGGAAATATATTGCTCTGATATTGAAAAAGTGTACAATGAATTTAAAAGACAATTTAAAGATATTCAAAAATTAGAGCCCATTATTACATTAATGTGTTTTCCTTTCTCCGAAAAAAATAACATTGAAAATATTTCTACACAAATAACCAATTAGTTTGATATTCTTCAATTAGCAGTAAGAAACTATTCGCCAGATTATGATCAATTGGTTATGGAAATGCAATGTCACACAGTATTAATGGCTAAGAAACCTCCTTTGGGGGAAGCCGCTATGGCTCTTAATGAGCTTATAAAGCGTTAAAAAAATCTGGCATATTATTGTTTGTCAGTCCCATTAGGGTAGTTTTAATAAAAGCTTTAGTCTCCATTGAAACATTCGAAAGATTGACTTCAACTTAATCATTTGAAGTTGTTGAAATTTAAGTGTTATAATGAACGGCACGCAAACAAATGTTTGCAAAAGATGTAAAATATATAGAAGTAAAATGTAGGTCTTGATAGGCTAAGAGTAGTTAAAAGAATTCAAAATGTTGAATTATTTGACATGAAATAATTAAGACATGAATACTAATGACTTGTAAGAATGTTAGCACCAAACTTTTAATTTATCGTTTTCATATAAAGATATTGGTTTAAATTCTATCAAATATGAAATGTGAGTAAGTAGGGGGCGGTGTCGCGCAGGCTTTTAAATGTCATCTAGTTTTTAGTCGGAAATCGGACATCGTTTGTGACAACGACGCGCCGAAAGCGAAACGTCATATCGTAAAGTGTAGAAACAAAAAAAATATCCTATGAAATACAGTCCACATTAAAGATAAAAAAATTGTGTAAATATTTCGTGAGCTATCGGACAGATATAAATAATTAATATCAGTTGTTTAATTCATATGTAATAAGTGAATAGGATGAATATATTCCCTTTCTAAACATTCACTGGAAACATCAAGGTAGGTACTAATTATTAAATTAATAAGGTTTAAAAATTTACTTCTTTTAAGTGCATGATTAAAGTAGGAACAAAGAAAGATTACGTAATCACTAATAGATCACTATGTTTTTCTATTACTTTTCATTATTCTCATATAATCATACGAGATATCATTATTAAAAACAATTAGTAACTCACCTCTTCTACCCTTTATTTTATTTTTCTTTCTTTCTTTCTTTTAAGATACTGTAGTCCATTTATCGTTTAAAATAAAAAATTCATTAATTTCCGAGAATCAATTGTAATATAGATTAATTTGATATCCTAAACAGTTTGACTAATTCCCATAAAATATATATAAAATCAACGTGTAAATTGTATTTATTTTTTTTGTCAAATATTTTCAATCAACATAAATTTAAATTAATTAATTAAAATACAATATTATATATTTGTTTAAAACATATCTTAAACATTATTAAGAAAGAGACCTTTTTTTCTTAAAACATAAAAATCAATTAAAAACTATTGAATTGTTTGAAACTCAATACATTGTTTTTCAAATTCTGTCATAAACATTATTTTGTAGTTTCAATACAGGTTCAATAAAAATACATTTTTTTGAATTTAAACATTTTTTAATTAAAGGCTACATAGAATAAAATAATTATTAACTTAATTATTAAACAATTTTTCATATCTTGTAATATTATAAAACTAACGATTATATTCAAATCAATATTTGTCGTATCTAAATTCAGAATCTGGTATAAATTCTCCTTCTTCTAAATCTTCTTCTACATCTTTTTCTATATCTTCTTCTATATTTTTATTATAATTCAAAATTTGCTGCTCAATTCGCCTATGTTGAAAAATATTAATGAATATGTAATATTTTGTTTAAAATTAAAACGTTAGCATTGCAATCAACAAGGACATAGTCAATTTGTTACTCAAAGCACTTGATTCAAAAACTAATAGATGTCTTTTGTCATTCATTGTATATAAACTATTTATGATATAAACGATTATAATCGATTAAATTGATTATTGAACTCGAATATAGATTTATCATAATTATAACACTGATTTATTAAATTTCCTAGTCTAACTTTAATAATAATTTAAATTAGAAATATTAAAAATAATAAGATTGAATACATATTTTAATTATATTTTAGTTTTAAATAATATTATTTATCAATTCTTATTAATTGTATAGGAATTATTTAAGAGGTATGAAAAAAAAAAATTTTACATTCCTTATTTTTATATGTATTATAATAAACGCTATAAATGTGACTTAAAATATGTTAAGAAAAATATCTTACCTGTACATTAATAAGCACCCTAATGTTCCATGTAAAATTATTGATATTGAATATATATATAACATATTGTAGTTCAAAAATTAATAAACTACGCTGTTGTGAGCGTAGATGATGCAGGAGATCTTGTCAAGTGGAAGTTTAGGATAAGGCTGGCTTACCCCAAGTAGTTGGGATTTAGGCGAGGAAGAAGAAGAAGTAGTTTAAAAATTAATGCATTTTTTAAGGAATATCTGTACCTCAAAACTAGACTAACATATGTCAAATAATTTTTTTTTACCAAATTAAATTTTATTTATATTAACAGAATTTTGTTTCGATGACCCATTCCATATTTTATGAGAGTTTTAAGAGTATAAGTCCAAACTTCAGTTAGTATCATCTAAGCAAATCGACATAATATAAAATATAATAGAAAAGAAAGTAAAGCATTGTAAACTATCCGTACTTGAATTTAAATATTTGTAACGATTTAAAAAAGTTGTATTTTTCTATTTTAAAGCTTTCTTTAAAATTTACCAAATATTACATATGTTATTTAGGTACAGTTTTGATTTTTATTATAAAAACTTACTCCTTAGTATCAGAAACGATCAATTTGTCAAATCCCAAACCTTCATATTCATCTTGAATTGTTACAACCGTATACAAATCAAAAATTTCCACAAGTTCATCAACAGTGTCCTTAGTTATTTTTAATTTCGGGTCTATACTATACTTAACCACTAAAGTAGCATCAACTGAATATGAATTAAAATATAAAGAGTATCTATTTATATGGTCAAGCTCAACTATTATTCTATTGTCTAATGCATTACAAATTATTTTTTTAATACTTCCTACCATCTTATTAGCCATATATGTATCATCATATTCAGGAAGTTTTTTATTTGTCAGACTATACAATAGCCCTATATGTTTAACAATACTCACTAATTTCAATTTATAATGAATATATAGATAGTCATTGATATTACTTAAGAAAACAACGGCATATAACAATTTTCGAAACATGGGATTTAAATTTATTACTGCTGTCCGCAACTTCTTAGAGCAATCAATAAAATTTATTGCATCATATTTCCTATATGTGTAACATTTCTCAACAAAACAACTTAATAAATGTCTAAATATTTTTAAAGATTCAGTGTACCTAAAAATGATTAATTCGCTTATCATTGTTATTTTTTTCTTAAAATTATATTTATCCACTTCCGTTAAAATATGTTTCAGTTGATATTTTTGATATGTTTTTTCATTGATCCTTATTTTATACGTCAATTTTAAATCCCATCCATCCTGTTGACGAATATAATTGAATACATTGATAATATATTCTAATTGATTGTGTGAATATGAATCTAAATTACAGAATACCATCGAACTTTGATTTAAAATCCAAAAGTTATAAAAATTTAAGATAAATAGTCGAAATAACATTCTGTTGAGATAATTGAGTAAAAATTGACACGAAAATTTAATGAATAATAAATCTGTAAAATAAATTTGTAAGTAATAGTATAAAAATACTAAAGTAATAATATTCTTTAATGTTAATCTTCAGCTTTTATAATTTTAATACGTATTAACGAGTTTTGAGAAAAACACTTGATTTTTATTTTAGTATTGCAATAATTATTTATGTATGTAAATTTACACCATTCCGTCATTCAAGAAATTTCAAGTTTTATTTTTATAAATACAGCTGTACTAATAAAATTGATTAAAATTATGAAATACAAATTAATATTCATAATTAAGTAATTCGTTTTTGTTAACAGTACTTTTAACATCTATAGAGTTCTCGAAGAATGATCCATTATCCTAACATTTAATTTTACTTTCAGAACGATGAGAAATTTAAGTTTAGCAAGATCCTAATTATAATTAGGATCTTTATTTAAAATAACTTATATCATTATGAGATAAACATTAAGAGATATGTATTTTAAAATTGAGAAATCATCTTTTTATCATAACTGAAAAGACTAATAATTGAAAATAATAAAAAATATATAATAGCAGAGATTATTTACGAAACATAATTTTCTTATTTAACATTAGCGGCATTTTATACTCTTCGTCTTCCTCGCCTTAATCCCAACTACTTGGGGCGGCTGTTTATACATATAAGATAATTAATTACGAAAAACATTTTTTTTTCCTTGTAATAAATTATATCAATTTTTGTTTGTATAAAGAATGGTCTAACATGTTCTGAGTCAAGTCCTATAATTATTAATCTAGTTATTATTTTGCAATACTTTTTCTTTATAAAACACTTTTAGCTTCGATGCGAAGTTGAGAAGGTATTAATTTTACTATGATGTGTTTTTTTTTTTTTTTTTGTGTCTGTATNTTTGACCCTTTAACAGCCCAAAGGATGGGGTTTCAAAATGGTAACTTTTTTACAAAAAATTAACTTTTTCAACTTAACTTTTGAAAATGTTCCGGAAAGACTGACAATTTTATATATACCTTAAATTAAAGCTAATGTAATATACTTTAATTTGAAAAAAAAAAATTTGACCTCTGGACTTGTCTTCATGGTGAAAATGACTACCGTATGCAAAAATATGCTATTTTTGTGAAAAAATTCTTGATATTATATTTTACATTTTTTAACATTATGTTGCTATAACTTTTTAAAAAATGCATGAATCAACTTTATTCTTTAATGATAAATACTTTATATATACTTCTTTCATTCGACATACTTTTTTTTAAAATCGGACCATTTCCCTTTATACAGGGGGGGATTTCAAAATGGTAACTTTTATACAAAAAATTAACTTTTTCAACATAACTTTTGAAAATGTTCCGGAAAGACTGACACTTTTATATATACCTTAAATTAAAGCTAATGTATTATACTTTAATTTGAAAAAAAAAAATTTGACCTCTGGACTTGTCTTCATGGTGAAAATGACTACCGTATGCAAAAATATGCTATTTTTGTGAAAAAATTCTTGATATTATATTTTACATTTTTTAACATTATGTTGCTATAACTTTTTAAAAAATGCATGAATCAACTTTATTCTTTAATGATAAATACTTTATATATACTTCTTTCATTCGACATACTTTTTTTTAAAATCGGACCATTTCCCTTTATACAGGGGGGGTGCAAACCTTTTAAAATGCGTATAGAAAGTAGAACTTTTTCAACTTAACTTTTGAAAATGTTCCGGAAAGACTGACACTTTTATATATATCTTAAATTAAAGCTTATGTAATATACTTTAATTTGAAAAAAAAAAATTTGACCTCTGGACTTGTCTTCGTGGTGAAAACGGACATCAAAGTTAAAGAAAAACGTACGATTTCCGTGAAAAAAATCTCGATTTTATATGTTATATTATTTAATTTATATTTTATATAACTTTTGGAAAAATGTATGGATCTATATTATTATTTTTTTATAATAAATATTGATATACCCCTTTCATCTGGCACGCTTTTTTTGTAAATCGGATCATACCCCTTTAACAAGGGGGGTCAAAACTTTAAACATGCGTATTGTTACTAAGATATTTTCAATTTAATTTTTGAAAGTATTCCGGAAATACTGACACTTTTAAATATATCTTAAATTAAAGCTTATGTAATATACTTTAATGTGAAAAAAAAAAATTTGACCTCTGGATTTGTCTTCATGGTAAAAATGACTACCGTATTCAAAAATTTGCTATTTTTGTGTTAAAATTCTGGGTTTTGTATTTTATTTTATTTTAAAATACCTGACAAGGGGACTACAGATTTTCATAAATATTATATAAATTAAAAATTAATATAGCATAGAAAGTTAAACTTATTTAAATTTGTTTGCTTCTTTTAAGTCGAGAAAAATAACTTTGAAATTTGAACTAGCTTAAATACCCAATTTTTTCAATTGTCGATAACAAAGTACGATTGCCGAATTGTTAAAACTTATGTTTTACACGCTTGTGGTACGAGGTTCCAACCCGCGTATGGCAATGAATTTTTTGCATTTTTTCTTAATTCTTTTTAAGTTAGTATAAATTTTTAATTCGTTTGATTTTTATCTCATTTAGATTCAATAACTTCAATAAAGATCAAGGATCCCATCACTTTAGTCGCCCCTTGCAAGAAGAAATTTCTTATTCGTATTAAAATTATTTTACTATATTTTAAGTTTTCGCTTCGATG